CACACCTCTTACAAGATACCCTCATACCTATTACAAGATACCCTCCTCACTCTTACAAGATACCCTCACGCTTCTTACAAGATACCCTCACACCTCTTACAAAATACCCTCATACCTCTTACACGATACCCTCATACCTCTTACAAGATACCCTCATACCTCTTACAAGATACCCTTATATGTCTAACGAGGTACCCCTATACCCTTGACGAGTACCCTCATACCCTTGACGAGGTAACCCTATACCATTGACGAGTACCCTCATACCCTTGACGAGGTACCCCTATACCTTTGACGAGTACCCCTATACCCTTGACGAGTACCCCTATACCCTTGACGAGGTACTCCTATACCTCTGACGAGTACCCCTATACCCTTGACGAGGTACCCCTATACCTTTGACGAGTACCCTCATACACCTGACGACATATGCACAAAACAGTCATATATCTTACAACTGACACACGAACCACAGTCTTCCTGTCGTATTTCCGATGACTGCCAGTAAGCGTGCTGGTTTTCCTTACTTGTATATTCGTTCTATACGTACCTGATTCTCCTAGAAAACCTGCTTGTATCGCTACTATGATTCCCTCAAAGGCGTGGAATATCGGCCGGAGTTGGACGACATGGGACAGTATCTTTTCAAGTGTAGGTTCTGAGGTTTGTGTGTTGTATGTCGCATCTAGGTCCTGGAAAGTTAGTAGTAAACATTAACCCAGAAGAAAATTTAAAATACGTTGGCTGTTTTTTTCGTTATTTTGGCTGTTTTGTGCCTTTTCGTTATTTTGATTGTTTTGTGCCTTTTCGTTATTTTGGCTGTTTTGTGCCTTTTCGTTATTTTGGCTGTTTTGTGCCTNACTGTTTTGTGGCTTTTCGTTATTTTGGCTGTTTTGTGCCGTTTCGTTATTTTGGCTGTTTTGTGCCGTTTCGTTATTTCGTCTCACCGCACGAAGAGGACGAGATCTGGTTACTTTGTTATTATAGTTGTTCCGAATTGTAGCCCAGAAAAAGCACGAGAAATAACAAAGCTTCATTCTCGTTCGTTTTTGTTTGCGCCCCGAAACGACGAGAATGGACGAAACAATGAGAATTAAAAGTTACTTAATCTCGTTTTTTCGGGGCGAAAAGTACAAAATGACACAAATCGACTACCGCACTCAAAATATATACTCACAGTATTGTACATGAACCTAAGAACCACGTTCCACCCGGCCTTCTGTACGGTAGCCATGTCTTGCCAAACTTTGCCGAGGAAGTCTTGGTCGAGTGGTGCGCCAGACAAGTCGTCCAATAAATAAAGACGTAATAAAAGCGTCGTACCATCTCGTCCTCGCCAGCAGTCTAGCGCTGCCTCCTGTACTAGTAGTATGATCGTGTTAACCACTTTACTTAGTCAATGAGGTCGTTTTGTTTTAAAAGAAAAATTCTATAAGAAAGGCTTTCAACTATGACGAGCTTGTTGCATAGTAACATGAACTCATCTTATTTATATGAATTTTAAATCTTTTTATGGGAGTTATGTAGGTTACATGAACCTCACATTACATCGACATGGAAAAAGTATCGTCTTTTCTCCATTATTATTATTGTATTATATAGTATTTCATTCATAAAGACTACCATAGCTGTGACTTGATTGAATATTGTCGGAAAAAGAATCCTCACTAATTGAGGAGTAAATCTAGATAAATTCTCTTATCTTGAGAAAAATATAATTGAATGTTTCATGATTCAAAGTTCAAGATATAGTCTCCTTTGACGTACGAAATTTAATTTCACCCGAAAATGAAATGTTTTTGTTTCCATGTAAGTATCTTGTTCTTACCTTGATCGCATCAAAGTCAACTGTCTTCGATGACGTCATCAGTTTATGATAGAACCCACGTCCAGGGTTAAGCCAGACATTGCTATCTTCGTTATATATCTTGGCATCATATGACCTACATTTCATGTACAACAGCATATATGTAACATACCAGTGGTCTCACTATATATAGACAGATAGAAAGGCAGACAATTTTTATTTCCTTTTATAAGAAATTAATAAAATCTATTACCTGTAATTGAGCGCGATCGGGTTATCTCAGTCGAGGGCTAAGATTCTGTAACGTAATCCCAACCGAGGCGTAAGCCGGGCTGGGATTTACAGAATCTTAGCCCTCGACTCAGATAACCCGATCTCGCTCAGTTACAGGTAATAGATTTTTTTTTCTCGCACCTTTTACTTTGAAAAACTATTCAATTTTGCTAAAGACTTCAAGTATCCCGTCTGGGGCCTGAACCTGATATGATATGTACACTACAAAAGCTACATTCGAATGCTTCCGCGTAAAAAACTAGTTCGTCTTTACAACGAAGACAACGTATTTTAAAGTGTAAAATATATTTTATCTACAAAATCAGACATCTAACTACATAATGTACATCAAAACAAAACATATAACGACAAAACAGAATATTTATAATGCGGATTGTCAATTTTGAGCCGTTTACGCGCGGATGAATACGTCGTTGTGTAAAAATTCCGTGAAATGTCACGTTAAGGTACCAGACAGATCGGACGAGATAGAAAAATCTAGCATGGGGTATGAGGTGGGATATCTCTGTCTGAGGTGCGAGAATACATGTACCATGATACACGACCATGTCAATAATATGATGTTACACACGTGGTATAGAACCTAAAGGTGCTGTGATTGGTCAAAACCGCGGGAACATATTCCTACGCCACTACAGGTACTACTTTTATTTACTATACCATCTGATGCATTTACTGTTATTTTAAATGAAATTGAAATTGTTCTTTTGTCATTATTATTTTCATTGCACTTCAAATTTGTATATTAATAAGAAATAAAAAAAAATATGGAACTACTTTGCACTGCGAGAAACGACAATACCATGATCGGAGTACTTAGGTCTTACCTATATAGAGTCAATAATTATGTTGTTCCTTCAACCAAGTATGAATGAACACGTTTTGTCTTCCTCTAGCATAGGGTACTCTTAATATTTATCAACACTTATAAAATATATTTTATACCACTTCCCCAGCAACAAAGTCCGTCCGACCGTCTGTCCGTATAAAAAGTTAATTTGTCCGGACAACTCCTTCTTAAGTAATGTACCAATTTGAACGAAAGTTCCCAGATATGATAACTACCACATGAACTTGTACACCCAGGTATTATTGTTTTCATTGTCGTGCATAAGGGTAGTATTTGTTTCATTTCGACCCTTTTTAAGGAGTTATGGTCCTTTGTTAAAAAAAACTTTGTCCTGACAACTCTCCCTTAGCTACTAGTACTTCAGAAAAACTCATCTGGGCTAACACGATTTGGTTTGTAAGTATGTTTTGGCATTGGGAGGGAGTGCATGTAGTAAGTTAGTGACCTATATACTTAAATAAGTGTACAGCTCAGTGAATAAAGAAATCATTACTGGTGGAAAACCATGGATAACTTTGCAATGATTTGCCTCAGTTAGCCTTTAGCTTACAGTTCTGGTTAAAATAGGAGCGGGATTTTATTTGGTCTTTGGCTTACAGTTCTAGTTTGTACTAGCAAACTATCTTTACTTTTAATATAACGTGGGACATTGTATGACGAAATGTTTATCGTCAATGTTTCATCTTTCTCACACAGTTTATCGTAATTTGAAGTTCAGTCCTTTAGAAAAATGCTTAATCATTTCACAAACGTTCCATATCTTATTTCAATACCAAATACACCATTCTTAACACACAATACATAGGCAGTAACAGTATGCAGTAAAACCTCGTTATGATGCTACAATTTGTTTTGAGTCATTTAGAATCTTGGCGATGAACTAAACAAATTAATGATTGGGGAAAGAGCAGAAATGACCTTGAAATATGTTGATTATAAGCGAGGCGGTAAATAGAATAAGGGCAATATATAGAGGTTTTACTGTACATAAACGAGGGGCATTATATCGAGGTTTTACTATTTATAAACAAGGGACATAATACGTACGCATTGTTCGGTAGGAGTGACAAATCACAAACTTGTCCAATACTGGCAGCAGACGACAAAGTACTGACCAAATGTAGTCCTGTCAACACAAGTCTGGGATCTATTATGAAGTGATAGCTTTGCTTTTCATTGTATTTTATGCAATTAATGTTTTTTTAATATACAAATGTATTGGTAATTGTATGGTGTGCTATCACTTTGTTTAGAGATTATCTTGTATTGTATGTTGCTTGTTTCAATAGTTTTTTTGTATTACATTTAAAACGAACTACATTGAAGCACGTTTGTAGCAAACATCAACGGACTCCTAGAGATCAGTGTTAATGTAATAAATATATTATAAAGAACCTCGGTGGACTAGGAGGTATGTGGTGTCACTTTCTTTCGTTTGTTTCCTCTCTCCACTAAAAGATCTACATAACTGGCTGGACAATCAGACCACCAACCCGCCAATCTGATTACAATCATATCTTGATCTACACTCGGTTCTGTACACTACACTCTGCCTGACCTACCAGATTAGCACTATAACAAGGTATCGAAATGATACAATACGTTTCTAATATACCCTGATAGAGACACGACCATATCATGATTTCAGTAATGTTATTAATTCGCTACATACCGAAACAGTACAACACAGCGACGTGCAAAGTTCCCATGGTCCTCTCGAATCTACAATAGTAACGCTAAGGCGTAGTAATATCCCCTGTTTGTGTTCATGACGTAATGCAATGCGACGCACTATAAAGTATGACGCATCACGCGTGTGGCATATATAGTATATGAGTGAATATGTGACAAGTTATATTTTTGATAGTTTATTCACCCGTGGAACTACAAATACTTGACACATTACAAATATTTGACGCATAAGGCATATACGAAACACTACTATTAATATGACTTAATATTTGGGTAGTTATTTATTCGTGAAAATAAGCAAATCAGCTAAACACCTTACTAACGAAATAAAATGCTGTACGCAATTGCTGTAAATATAAGGGCATCCATAATGACACAAGATATCAAAGATAAGCTACAAGTTGAAACTGTCCTGCCTTATACTTACCGCATAGCCACTCTATAGTCTATATATAGCTTGCAGTAGATAGTGAGGTTCCCATGCCTGCTCTGCCATTTATCAATTCAAAAGCTGAGACGAAAAACAATGTAATGTAGATATGATATGTGAAAGCCCATGTATGCATCAACATTATTTGACCAGTTGTCGTTATTAAATGCTGTGCTATTGTAAAGTATCTTTCATTTGAGTTTGACGAATAAATAAACCCCCTTCCTGGGCCTCTGATACCATCTCTTATCATAAACAATGTGATGAATCGCATTTTCTCGTAAAGATATTGCATTGAAGAGTTCATCAGGTAAATTGCAAACCCTCATAGATACATAGATTTATTCTGACAACATTAGGATTTTGCAATCCTTTTGATAGTTAGCTGTGAAATAAAACAATTAAACAAAAACATGTTTCAAAAGATGCGACGTTTAGATTTCGAGTTTTTCTTTAAAACTGTATTTCTGTGCTTGGTTTTGCCAGTGTTTATCTAATTCATATTCGAATTGTTTAACTGTGCGCTAATTCAAAACATTTGACGGACGATTGTTCCATACATCAACAATCATAGTCATCGTATCCTCGAACTACAAATGTTTTTCTTTGACATCATTAAACCACTTATGATTAAAAAACGAGTCAAAACCAAAACTGAATCCACAAAATATACTAGGATGATTTCACAATATTTTAACATTTCACATCATATCAACTTTCACCATTTTCGCCCTCCGCAATAAGGGAAACATTTGTACTTTATCATGACAGTGAATATAATATAATACAGAGTAAACAATTAATTATTATTACATGTGAAGGGCGAAATTAACACTGGGCAAATGTGGTTTAGGGTAGCGATAGTTTCCTGGTATATACTATGCAATTATAAATATACAAAAATATCTCATAAATATTTAATCAATGCATCGCATCCATTACAAAAAAACAAATTACATTTTTCATTTTCGTTATAAACAAAAAAAACCGGTTCTAAGTTACCCTCTGTGTTGGTATTAGTCCCATTTCACTACCTAGGCAGGTCAGGTCCCTAAAACTTTATTAAACAGTTACTATAGTCATGATGGCTTAGTGTCCGTACTAAATTCTTGACCTGCCTTGCTTCATTAAGTGTAATTTGGTATCTAAGGCGAGAATCATACAAGGTCAAATTGAAACGGAGATGTAAATTATGGTTAAAAATATTAATGATAAAATCCTGTGAAAAAGGCCTAGTGTCATTCAATCATAAGTACAGTCTACTTCTGGGACACTGTTATCTTAATTATTGGAATATGGGTTTTGAAAAACTAAAAAGTTCTTTGATTAATCGCGAGCATTGTTTCCGAGAAAATACTTTTCTTTCAGAACATTTGGCTCTTCCATTCTTAACACTAGCATACCTCATACCAAACTAAAGGAGCGATTTCGTTCTCCTCTTATGAGATATTTCTATCCCTAGAAAGGCGAACATTATTATGGGATCACACTGTGCCCCTCTTCTGGCCGACTTCCTTTTGTTTTCATATGAGGATGAATTTATATAATGTGCTTTTCAAGACTGGTAAAAAACCTAACCAAACTACACTGTATTGTCATTCTCCAGTTCAAGCTGTGAAGACGTGACATTACTTGGATTCCACCTCGATTTATATTGCGCTTGTGTCGATGAAGCAGAAGACGCGTACACTCCCGGAACACCTGGTCCTATTATCTTTGGAGGCACGGTAGTCCAGTGGTAGGACGTCTGGCTCGTGACCGAAGGGTTGCGAGTTCGAGTCACGGCACAGCCCTGTGTTATATCTTTGCGCAAGATACTTTACTCCGCTTGTTCCAGTCAACTCAGCTGTAAATGAGTACGTGGTTAGAAAGTGCTAGAATGGTTGAATGCTAGCTGTGAGAGCAGAAATGGCAGCACCGACTGTATGCTCCCCAGGGAGTTGTGAACGATATTGGCTGGTTGTAAGGCCGTTTAACCACGGATGATAATTTGTGAACTGCTTTGAGACGACCTACGAACTAGGTTGTGATAACGCGGTATAAAAGAACCTCGAAATATTATTATTATTATAATTATTGTAATTTGTCAAGGTTTCCCTGTAAATCATCCTTCTTTCAAATTTTTGCTCTTGTTTTATAGATTTTAGTTCGGAAGTTTGATTAAGACTTCCGGCCCCGTGTTCTCTTGTTTTGTTCTCATTGGTCCTATTCTGAGCTTTTTAGAATTTCTAAAGATAATTAGAATGTAAACGAGTTTGTTTTTAATTTTTATTGTTTTAGAAATTGATTTGCGATGACAGGTTATACCGTTTCATCATATATGTTATTATATCTTAGGAGAAGGATACCATGGAAATGATTAAAAGTAGTCTTGAAAATAACCATAAAAGGGATAACCAGTTTAACGAATAGTAGATAAACATTTAATTAAATGAGATTAATTCTTTCTATTATTAATTAACTTCAATAGGATTGTGTAACTAAAACACACACAAATAAAAGCAAAATATTGTTTTTTAGTTTTAATTTTGTTTATTTTAATAAACATCATTGTTGTATTAGTGTATGGAGAAGGAACAAAAAATAGTATCACCTCTATCATCTTTACATGAACGTTATCTACAGTAGCAC